TGGAGGTACTTTAACTGCTACATCTAATACGTCATCTTCATCATCATCATCATCATCATTCGACAGTATGCCTGCATAAAGTATGAGATATAGTCGGTTTCAGTTGAGTTGGACCACAGACTCACCTTTATAACTTCTCTATTATTTATGCTAGCAACTTAAAACTTGGTATAGTTGCAAAACGGGTTCTTCCGAAAATCTGTACCAATTTTGGAGTCTCTAGGTACTCTGGAAGGTTCTCAAAAGGTTCTTCCGATCAACATGAAAGGGAGCCACCATGATGTTTCATGACGTGAAGCTTTGTGAATATCATTTACATCTCATTAATTATGTCAATAATCATGTTTTTATTATTGGACTCGCCACGCTTGCGTAGGCGGGTACTAAGCAGTTGGGTTGTCATTCTGTCATTCTGTCCACACAGTTTAATTGATTTGTAAAAAGATTATCTTTTTGTCTGAGCAGTCTAGAGCTCTATTTCTTCTTCTAGCAACAGCTAAAGTTGCTTTCTTTCATCTAGTTATGCTCTTGTAGCATCCCGTGGCACCAAAAGCTGTGAACTGTTAAACCAGGGGACCTCTCTCCAGGTGAGAGCTCATGTTTCACTCTACAGGGCTGAGATTTGCTTCAGAGGTAGAAAACCCCATCTAACTACCAGGCTTGGGGCGAAGTACTTTTAAAAGTATTTAAGTACATTACAAATACCTGTTAGATTTTAAAAATGAGTACGAGTACAAATCCCTCATTTTTACAATTGTATTCAGTATGAGTACGAGTACTCTATTGCAATACTTAAGTACTACTTAAGCACTTGACCATACCCAACTAATTAATAAGTTAGTTTTAAAATTAATAAATTAAATCAGATGGTTATTACATCTTATAAACTTTTCAAATCCAAAGTGACCAATGTCATAGTATGGGACCCACAGGAGGTAAATATATGTGGTTTACACTAGCTAGTATTTTATTATGTCAACACATTACCATTGCATTGATAAATGTGCTTCAATGTACTTTTAAGCACTAAAAACATACTAGTATTTAAGTACAGTACGAGTATTTGTAATTTTTGTTCAAAAGTACTTGAGTAAATACCGAGTACTTTCAAACTTGTGCTTAAGCATGCTTAAGTACAAGTACCAAAGTACTTGCCCCAAGCCTGCTAACTACAAACAAAAAGAACGATTTTGTCCTAACTTCGTTGTTTGTGAGTTACAGTTGCTTAAAGTTTGTGATTTAGCCTCTTTGAGAATTTTTCAGGCGGCACTGGGGAAAGCAGGAGCAACCAAACTCTCTCAGTTTCTTTTAAATATCTAGAAAAATTTTCTGTGCCAACTCTTTCTTGGAATGCTAAAATAAATTAGATGCTAAAATAAATTTCAGCTTTTCTTTATTCTCCTACCCATGTGCCATGATTTAGTTAGTTGTTGACCACACCCATAGCTTATTTTAATTATCATTATAACTATGCAGTCAATAATAATAATTTTTTTCAAATTGCTTAAAATATCACAGTACAAGTAATACATATCACTCAGGTGAATCCCAGCAGGCGAGTCCATTGCACCATAGTGCTTCATTTAAAAATTAAATAAAGCAAAAGGAGCACTCCAGGCCAAGATATAATTGAACAAGAAGACTTTGCACTCCAGAAAGAAGTCTCACTTAGTCTGCTGTACCTCTCTAAGCCTTCGTTATTTGTCTTCACCATTGCCGCTCAGAAACTCCGTTGAAATTTTGCATCTCTCAATTCTTTCTTCAGGCAATAGCAAGCACAAAGATCCTTCATGTCAATTGCAGGGCTAGCAGCGACCAAAGTAGGGTAATGAACAAGTTACAACAAGAAGAAAGGAGCATGATGAAGTTTTTAGCCATTTTATTTGCGTGTGGTTGGGGCTACACGTGACGTTTTGTTGATGAAAACGTCTGGTCAAACTCAACTGAAACCGACTATAACATACAGTAAGAAATGAATACAAAATCACATTCAAATTGTTGTAAATATTATGAAAGCATGTAAGTACTTAGTCCAGGAAAAATAGATTATCAATGACAATCAAATAGATATAATTGTCACACTATAATTAATTTACTTACAATCTGTCACATCAAATTTTTTCCACAATCCCTTGCTGAAACCAGTTTCTGAAGGACAGCTGTTTGCTTTCTCAAGACAGATCCTGTTTCTTCTGAAGCCAATGATGCTAACTTAATCGTTATCCTTAATGTACGATTAAACTTCTCAAACTATATATGTGATATGAACTGTTATTTACACATACAAAATGCACATTTTACCTGTGACAAAACTCTTTTTAGGAGATGGAAATCGTAACACTGGTAAGTATTATCACACTCTTCCTCAATCCTAAATATTCTCTGGGTCCTTTTTTAATATGCAAGTGACGACCTGTGATCACACAGTGACTCATCAAACAGTTCCAAGGAGCACTTTTCTCTCACAGCTAGTATATGGCGACAAGGCAATAGCATAGATTTCCACCCCATACATTGGCAACTTGATGAAGTGACTGAAAGAGCTCCTTCAGTACTATTTATGGTGAAACAGTTGTCAGTACTCTCTTCAAAAAGTTTCACTTTCACTCTTGAGTTCTAGTTGCCTAGACACATACTTGTATGCATAAGGAATCAGTAGATTCATATACTTTATGCTGCTAGTATCTTTCAATGAGTGAAAAGTAACAGGCACTTTTTGTACAATAAGACTGGATTTATGATCCTATTCTACCCTCAGCACCCTTAAAATCAGGAAAAACTTATCAACAAACTCCTCCAAAGATGAGTATCGTGATATGACATTTCAACTTTGCATTCAATGACTCAAGTCTATTGTTGGTACCATTGAGGAAGTTGCCAGTTGAATACTTCATTCCAAGAGCCCATTGATGTCTAATTCCATGCCAGTGCTCATCAAAATATTCAATAACAAGTGGTGGGCAAGATGCTTTAAACCTTGCATATAAATCATTGTAGCTACTTTCTGATGGGGCGTAAGCTAGTTGTTGAAGTAATTCCAGGCACAAGTTGTGCTGACCTGAACTAATGCCAATTTTATCTGCAGTTATCTCTAGTTTGAAAGTTCGGAATGTGTGGAAAAGGCATATTAAAAGAGTGGCATTTGGAAAACTTATTGCAAGCACATCTCGCTCAAGAATATCCTTGTCTGTCTTGATGACTTGAACTGATTTTCATTCTGCATTGTTCTTCCTAAAAGTGTCCATCATTTTTTCCAAAGATACTTCAGTTTCTTCGAGCCACAGGAAAGCGGCAGCTACTTCACTTATACCGTTACCATCTTCTACCAATATCACATACAAGGGAAATCTAAGTTTCAAGAGCTTATAAGTAGCATCCATGCACAGGAGTTTAGGGTATGCTGAATAAACCTGTTTCATAGACTTGTCTTGAAAGAAAAAACCTTGCAAAACATTACCTGCATTCACAAACACTTCAACAATTGCACCTATAAAAAAAATACACTTGAAAACTGAATAATCATTGTCTATTTATGTAGGCATGCATTATACCATGTTTTTCTGTTAATTGGTGCAAGGCTGATTCCAAATTATTGTGCGTACTTCCTGTCTTTGCTGTACTCATAAGGTTGCTCAAATCAAACTTTGCCAGTAGATGACTGCAAATCATCTTTTACCATTTTCTTTTGGCTTTCAGCTGCAATAAATCTTTGCCTTTCTTTGCCTCTTCCATGGTTAGCTTCCTTTAAGCCCAACATACATGGGGCAACATGTTGAATGCAACATTGAAGCAACATGTTCTATTCAACATGTCGCCTTGTGTATGATAGCAAATTTGTTGCATGTAACATCCAAGCAACATCAAAGTAACATGTTGCTTCAAGTTGAAAAATTTCAACTTCAAGCAACATGTTGCTTCAAAACATCAAAGGTAACTAGGCAACACATAAGGAATGCAATAATAACTTCAGCCTTTTATTCATAATAATAATTATTATAGAAATAGCTAGCAACATGTTTCCCCTTTTGTTCAACAGTGTGCCAAATGTTGAATACAACATGTTGCTTGATGTTGCATTCAACATGTTGCCCCGTGCATGTTGGGCTGATTGTGGCAATTGTCTCAATGATTCCTTTCATAATAAAACCATTTTGAATTTTGCTCATTGAGATAGTCATTGTATATACCTTACTGACTTCATGATTGTGCTTATTACAAAATTGCTAAATGACTAATGAATTGCCATCCTCAGAAGCAGTGATGTTTATCATTGCTCCGCAATCTTTTGAAAAAGTTTTAGTAAACACGATCATAATGGTAACTAACAATAATTATAATAATTATTTATGCAGTACATATAAGTCAATTAGTAGCTGGAATAAATTAATTTCACTAATTATTTTGCAAAACTTAAAAACATGCTAACAATAAAGTAATACTCATGCACATAAGGCTCAGTAACCATCTCAGTCATGTCACTTACTGAGTAAAATGTATTCGTTCGCCCTTAGGGTTAAATTTTCTCCCTCTGAGAATACACCAATAAAATATCTGATAATATGTGATAAAATTTTACAGAGATCTGGTTGTTCTTTTCCTCACAGCTTCTACTGTTCTGCAGTCCCTCATCCAGAATTTAGTTGATGTGGCTCTTTCATACAGCTTGAGTTTGCATTCAACCTCTTGAAACCTTTTGAAAGTTTCTCCAATGTGAAATATAGGCACCTCTGTGTTACTTGAACTTGATTTTGACTCATGGTGTCTCTACTATCACAGGACATGAGCTTGATTGGTTAAATGGGCATGTCTACTAGGGTTGTATATCCGCGCATCTCCAAAAATTGACCGGTTCTTTTTTGGCCATGCTTTGCTGAACCAGTTGCTGGTCCCCAAAGGACCAGTAAATGCAACTGGCTGCCGGAGCTCTAGCCACTTTATATATTATAAATGTACCTCAAAAATTGCTGTTTTTAAATTAATTATTGGATTTTTGTGTTTAGTTGCAGATGATAGTGTCACCATATTAGGCTCACTGCGTGATTTGAAAAGCCGTGTTGAAGGTACTCAGTTTATTTTTAGTCCTTTCTCACTTGATCACAATCAACTCTCTTTGCTCCACCACCTTGTTGTATCTCATACTCCTGATAACTTTGATGATGGAACGAAAGCAAAAATAGCCAAGGAAGTAACTGACATATTTGATGGGCAAGTCAAGAGACTTGTGTATGCTACAATACTTACGTGTCCGTGGTTTTCGGGCTCTCAGTCGAAAAAGTCTGCACAGCCTGAGAATAATGTGCTGTATGTTGTGTTTGTGTCACGAGATGAGCAGTTTTTTACACTAGCTACTGAGCATGAGAAGGAGTTATACGAAACTATCAATGAAGTGAGTTAATGTGCATTGCATAATTTGAAATTTGGAAATTGTGCCCTTTTAATGTTGTAGCCTTTATTTTCCTTTATAGGGTTTTATATTTGCTTGTGATGTCAGGCATTTTTGTGCTCAGCTCCAATGTGGTAATGTCAGGGCAGTTGAAGCTTTATGCTCGCCTCCTGACTCGATCATCTTCAGCTCACCTGAATGGATCAGCCTGGCATCACTTCTTGATCCAGTCTCGCTCTTGACACCTACATTTGTTAAGCATTGTGTAGGAAAGTCTATTGGCACATTGATCAAGAAAAAACCAACCTCTGGTACACTGGAGGTTAGAAATGATGCTTTTGTTAGCAATTTCTGTGATTCTTTTAGGTAACCAACACACATAGATATGATATGTGCTTATGTACATATATATGTTTTGATCCACAGTATTGGTAATTGAGCTTTATTTCTTTAGGCTTCTTTCTTATGCTGAGTCAGCAATAAAGAGAGAGCCAATAAGTAGTTGGTTTGATGTGGGTGTGACTGCGGAAGAAAAAGAAATACTTCAATTGTTGACAAAAGCATTTGAAGTAAGACACCAAATTACCAATTGAATATTGGTTATTATGGAGTGCTATTATTACCTGTTTATTGTGAATTTAAAGCTTAAGTTGTAGCTATTTTTATTTCTTTTTATTTTTTCACATACATGTAGAGTATCTATTGAAAATTCGCTATTACAAACGATCATTGTTTCATTTTGTGTTACACGTTATATTGTTTCACAGGGTTTAGTACACAAGGAGCAATTGCTTGAATGGGTATTGAAAGTGAAAGAAAGAGTAGATAAAGGAATAGAGAAAGTTCCTACTGCCCAGCTTAAATGGACTGCAGAACTTGGAGAATGGATGACTAAAATGAGAATGGAAGGAGCCAAGTTTTTACTACCTCAAGGTCAGTCACATCAAGTGTAATAATAATGGACATTTTCCTCCTTCTATCCCATTTTAGCAACTTCAAAAAATTTATAAAAAATTATTTTGATTGGAATTAGCTGAAACTCTCTACACAACATAACACTATGTATATGTATCAAAAAATTATTAAAATGAAAAATACACATGTGCCTTTACCCAATTTTTGAGCAACTTTTAAATTGTTTTAAAAATTTAGTTTTGATTGGAGTGCGCTAAAACTTTCTACACAGCATAAAAACATGCCATGCATTCAGAAAAAACTAAAGGAATTCAAAATTCTCTCCTATTCATTTTGACTATATACCCTATAGTGTACTATAATCCAAGGACTTATAGTACGGAAAATTTTGTGAATATTTGAAGCTAGATGTATGCCACTACATTGTATTTATTTTATTTAGAGTTGGAATCAAATTTAGATCCTCATCGTGATTTTCTTGATTCTCAATCTTTAACAAGTGTCCACAGTCGTGATGTGATTGTGATTGCTAAGACAGGGAGCCACATGTATAATCTGGCTATGCCTACTTCTGATACTGATTATATAGTAGTGTACAGGAAACCAACACATGTGAGTGTCTGTGCTATTATGGCATCAAATATTAACTAGTACTAATAATGATTAATATTATTATTGCACGTATTGTACTTACATGTAGAGTAGAAGTCATAAAAAAGTTCAGGTTTTTTTCTGTAGAGCGATGGTGCAACGAAACTGTTGGTACCGTTTCAGTGTTTGTATTGTTTTTACAAAACTTCAACAAAATGCTAGCAAATCCTTTAGGGCATGGGCACTTATAGTAGTGGGTGTGGTCTGTAAAATCATTTAATTTGTGTATATTTTTGGCGTAGGTTAATTTGTACCACTATATAATTATGGCAAAGGAAAACTTATAGTTTGTGTCCGTTTTGTTATTTTATACAAATAATAGTAATGCTTTGACTTAGAATGAGTTATTGCTGTCAATCTGTGATGATCTTTTACTCCTACAAGCATCTGAGATGTCATCAGAGCATACTATCTATGGTCGGAGGGAAATTTTTTGTTGGCCTATGGATTAAAAGAAAAGTTTTGTCTATACAAGATACCTTACGTTTGTCTTTGGTTTTCTGAACCACAGATTGAAGAAAAATGGCTTGAGAGGACTCTCAGAGACAGCCAGAGCAGTTTGTTTCCAACCAGTTAGCCACTTTGGAGGGGCCTCCACCCACTTGCAATTTGCTGTCTAGCCGTATAAACGGTAATAAAACAGAAATTTTATGTTTTTAAATGGAATGATAATGCACCACTTAGTACTGTACAAAGGTACAAAACGGATCATTTCGTATTCATTTTGTTTATATAAAACATGAACTTTTTTGTGACTTTTACTACATGTACAGTACTGCTCAGCTATAACTTTACTTTTACACGTGTGATCTCCAGCACGAGGCACAGGTGGTGGTCGCGAAAAATCACTATGCACATACACACTACAATAGACTCGTGCACCACAGAACGTGATAAGATACATGATAAATACACGATACACGTGCTACGTGTGTACCTTGCACTAGTGTGCATTGAGTGTATGGAGAAGCTGCACTAGTGTCATGCACACGATAAGTAAAGTTATAGCTGAGCGGTACTGCACATATACATTTTAACTGTGCAAAATTAATTGTACATTTAAATCTGTACGATTTGATTCACTGTAGGTGCATGTATTTAGAGTTGCTTCCTTCAGGCTTGCTTAGCGTTGATTGAAGGGTAAGCTCGGCGTGTTTTTTTGGATATTTATTTTATTGGCTTAACATGATTGGCTGACCATAAAATGATGTGTCCAAACTCACATTGTCTAAAGAATTTATTTACTGAGATATGAGCCTTCAAAAATACTCATTTTTTCTTCCTGCCATGTTACTTCCTGTCAGTGGTTGCCGCTAAACGTGACATAACTAGAGGTGGAGATTGGAATAAATTCATTCCTTTATAGGGAAAAAAATCCTTTATTCTCATGCCTAATAATGTATTTAACAATTGGGATCATTAGCTATCATTATTCTAAGCATGCAACTGCAAAAAAATTTCATAATACCATGAGTTGGCAAATCCTCTTCTTTGCTATTTTGAGTCTTTATCTTATATTTGCATACTGATAAAATGAAGCACAGCCTGCTGGAATTCACCTGAGTGTAGAGATGGGCGATATACCGGTAATACGGTATTATCGTGATTAATGATGCTTTTTTATTATCATACCGTTTAATTTTTATGCAGCAATTTTATTGAAATTTGTGGTTATTGTGATATTTGTTTGCTCACGTGATCACTTATCACCGCGTGGACTTGTTAATTTGTAAAAAATGGCTGCCGATTTTGTTGTCTTGTTTCAGCTCTCTGGGCCCAGTCCTAGTTCTACCATCTTTAATATTATAAAGAAGAAGAACACAAAAAGCCCAGTTTGGGCTCATTTTGGACTGCGAGCAGATGAAGCCAATTGAGTGACAAAGGACGATATGGAGAGACCCGTTTGTCGCGAGTGCCACAAGGTTGTTCCAGCGAAAGGTGGAAATACTTCTATCTTATTTTCTCACTTAAGAGAGCACCATCCTACCTTGTTTGCTGGTTTGACTCCTACTGCAG